GTGGGTTAAACAAGATAATAATTGATCTGTCATTCATGTGATATAAATGTAGGATTGGTAGTTAAGTACTTGTGAGGCAGCTGTGCTGTTATCAGGACTCCAGATTCCTTTGTCTCTTTGATCCACTATACCAGTTCATGGTTTCCATTCTCAAGGTATTAATTCATGGTCCAATGGGATGGCAGGAGCTCCAGCCATCACATCTCCTCTAGGCTGTGGGAAGGAGGAGAGGCAGAAGGGAGAAGGGCACATGCCTCTGTTGAGTCATTTCCCTTTAAGCAGCTTTCCTGGAAGTTAAATATAATATATTAAATATAATATATTTCCTTGACCAGAATTTAATAATATCAGCCATTCCTAGTTGTAAGGAAGTCCTTGAAAATATAGTCCTTTAGCTGGGTACCGGGCTGCTTTATGTAAAATCAGGTTCTGGCGTGCCTGGGCGGCTCAGGGGTTTTGTGTCTGCCTTTGGCTCAGGTCATGATCCCAGGGTCCTGGGATTAAGCCCCATGTGGAGACCCATGGGGAGCCCCACATTGAGCCCCACATCGGGCTCCCTGCTCAGTGGGAAGCCTGCTTCTCCCTCTCCCTCTGCAGCTCCCCATGCTTATGCTCTCTCTCTCTGTCAAATAAATAAATAAAATCTGTAAAAAAAAAATCAGGTTCTCCTACTGATGGAACAAAGGGACACTGAACAGCAGGTGGCAATGAGCAGTCTCTGTCACAGATTCCATATTTATTCTTGGTTTTAAATCTTCAACACTACTCTAGGACTCATATTGCCAATTAGTCTTTATTTTGCTTTTCTCTTCTCTGGGTCTCACTTTCCTCATCTGAAAAAATGAGGTTAATGTAATTTAAAGACATATAGGGGAAATAAATAGGAAGGTGACTGGAAAGATTTTATATATATATATAATTTATAAATATATATTTACATACAAATATATATTTATAACAAAGAACTGATAAACTGGGCAAAATGAATGTTTACCCAGCTCCAAATGCCTAGAATAGGGATATTCTTAAGGGAGGATTTCAGCCTCCACCAAATGATGAGGTTTTTCCCCTAGCATTTAAGCTTCTCCCAGAGACATGAATTAATCCCTTTTAGGTCATTGAGGGAACTCTAAGTGCTTAGCTCTTGTATAATTTTGAAAAAAATGAGTTGGCATTAAAGACAGTTATCATGCCTTGCACATTATCCTAAGAAAAACAGTATATACTTTTTGGACTTCATGTAACTTGCCATCTTTAATCTCCCTCATTATTATTGGTTCGCTCCTTTTTTTTTTTTTTTTTTTTACAGATTTTATTTATTTATTTGACAGAGAGAGACACAGCGAGAGAGGGAATACAAGCAGGGGGAGTGGGAGAGGGAGAAGCAGGCTTAGGGAGCCCAATGCGGGGCTCAATCCCAGGACCCTGGGATCATGACCTGAGCCGAAGGCAGACGCTTAATGACCGAGCCTCCCAGGCGCCCCAAGGTTACTGGGGTTTTATTAGAAACACAAAACACAGGGTTTTTTCCCTGATGGAGTTCACATTATAGTGTGTGTGAGGGGGTATTGTTGTTGAGGGAGATAGCCCATGAACATGTAAACAAATGAACAAGATAGTTCAGATAGGAAAAAGTGCTATGAAGGCAGTAGGAGGACATAGAAGCATGTAAGTGGGAGGGAAAGGCTATGTTAGAGGGGAAAGTTCTTGAGGAGCTAAGATACGAATGTGAGACAAAGCCATTGACAAATGCATAATTTACAATGAGCACTTATTTCATGGATACAAGCATCTAAAAATTTTTGTTTCTAAATGGAAAACCATTCTCTCTCCCACTACGCAAATGATGAAGATCCAACTTTGATTTAAATGGAGTATCAACAAAAAGCCCTAGTCAGCTAAGGGTAACAGTTTCAGGAATACTAAAGATAAGAGGGTGAGCAGTATTAGAATTATTTTGAAATCCAAACAGATCCCAGTAGATGCGCTTTCAAAATTAAAGAAAAAAGGAGGCACTCACTCTTGCTTAATCCCTATGTTAGTTACTTTGGGGAAATGAAATATTTGAGTAATTTCACTTGACTGTTAAGAGTACCTTATCAGCAAACTGGCAATGAATTCTGTTGCAAAAATGAATCCATTCTAATTGTTTTGTTTTTTTTTAAAGATTTTATTTATTTATTTGACAGAGAGAGACAATGAGAGAGGGAACACAAGCAGGGGGAGTGGGAGAGGGAGAAGCAGGCTTCCTGCAGAGCAGGGAGCCAGATGCGGGGCTCGATGCGGGGCTCGATGCGGGGCTCGATGCGGGGCTCGATGCGGGGCTCGATGCGGGGCTCGATCCCAGGACCCTGGGATCACGACCTGAGCCGAAGGCAGACGCTTAACGACTGAGCCACCCAGGTGCCCCCTAATTGTTTTTTGAAAAAAGCTGTTTTATATTTGTGATTCATGATCTTGCAAAATCATACGTGTGCAGAGAAAGTCAGCATCTGCCAGGAGCAAAGCAAATTTGATTAGATGTTCCAGTGGCTAGAACATATACATTCAGTGTTTACAATTGGCTTCCTTAGAAATAGGAGTGTTGCTTACCTAGTGACATGAATTTAAGACATACAGAGCTTCAGATTTGATCCCTGATAAAAAAAAACCAAAAAAACAAAAAAAACCTGCAGGACTTTATCTATAAGAATAGATTCCTGAAAAATTAGACTTGATTCTCATTATGCCACTAATTAGAGACAACTTCTTTTGTATCTCTTCAAAATTTGATATGAAATTTGTAAGACAATAACAAAGCATACATGAGAGGAAGAAGCCACCAATACGATGGTTTCACATCAAAAAGATGTGATATTTATTTAGGAAACAATGAACTTTAAAAAGCGGAATCATCTGTGAGTAATACAGAGTAGAATCTGGACCCAGGCAGGAAATCTAGCCTCAGAAAGTGAATCATAAACAGAAAAGGGAGTGGAGGGGAGGAGGAATGGAAATTTTCAGGGGTATTGGAATTAAAAGACCTAATTTAGTTCCCTTCTAGCCCCATTTATTTGCTTCTAAGAGCATCCAAAGAATGTGTTAACCAGTGAAAAAAAGGCCTTATTGAGATATTATGTAGATAACCATAAAATTCACCCATAAGCATACAGTTCAATGATTTGTAGAAAATTCACAGAGTTATGCAACCATCACCCTATTTTTTTCATGTTGTTTATGGGATAGGAAACACTTTATTTTTCTTTTATAAAGTTACATAATGATTTGTTAAAATCTTAGAGCAAGTTTCAAGGATGCAAAGGGGACTCATTGAAAATGTGTGTAATAGACATGTGTAGGCAGTTGGTTTACTGAAACAAGGAGAAAGAGAGGCAGAGTGGCTGGAGGCCAGACAGGACAATGGTTATCAGCCACCCCCTATAGTCAGTCTGCTGGAGTTCAGGTTCAGGCATCCTTATTTGCTTTATAGCTGTCTGACCCCAAATAAGTTACTTGAACTCTCTGAGCCTCAGTTTACTGATAATAGTACCTATTTCATGGGATTATGAAGGATAAATGAGATAATATGTATGTGGTGCTCAGCATAGTCCTGACATATAGTAAGTACTCAATAAATATTAGCTATTTTTATAATTATCACTGGATGGCCATTAAATAGCCTTTCATGAGCTAGACACAAAGACCACATGCTCTCTGATTCAATTTATGTGAAATTCTAGAGGAGGCAAAACGATGGTGATAGAAAGTAGATCAGTGGTTGACAGAGGCAAGGGAGTGGGGGTAGGAAATTGATAGCAGAGGGACACAGGGAGCTTTTTAGGGTGCTCTATATTATGATTGGGATGGTGTTTTGTAAACATTTGTCATGGAATTACACACTTAAACTTGGTGAATTTTATTGTGTGTAAAATAAAGTGGACAAAAAATACCCCAACCCTAAAAAACATAGCTTTTAACTTCCTAGTTAGATAGTTTAATTATTTTACATGTTAGAAGCACGAATAAATTTCTAGGGGAGGCTGAGCGGCTACGTCAGATAAAGGGGAGGGGGGACTGGATTTCAGCTTAGGTCGACATCGAGCCCCGCCCCCATCCCGCTGGGGGTGGAGCCTGCTTAAGATTCTCTGTCTCCCTTTCCCTCTGCCCCTCTCCCTCTCTCTCAAAAAAATTTTTAAAAAATTTAAAAAAATAATAAATTTCTAAACTCAGTCCCTATTATGTGCAAGACACTGTTCTAGGTGCTGGGGATGCAGCCTTGAAGAGGACAGCATCTCCACCTTCATAGAGCTTACAGTTCAAGCACGAATTAGATACATATGTTTGGGGTTACACGAGGGGTCAGTGTGGGATGCTATGGGGACATAACCGTGACAGGGGAGTGGGAGGAGGGGTAGAGGAGCTCCAAGTTGTATAAATATCTGTCCCGTGGATTTTCTTTAATTTTTCAAACATACACAGAAGCAAACACAGCGTACCTCTATCCGCCATGGTGTTTGGGAACGTGGCGTGACAGAGGTTTCTGGGTGACGGGTGATCCTGAGTGACCCAGGGGCTGCCCTCTGGTCCCACTATCTGTGAGACGGGGTATCCACCCGGCGAGGGAAGCGGACTGGCATTGGCCCAAGGACCAGGTAGATGCTTCCATCCGCCTCAGGGGTAGCGTGGCCTTGACCTTGATCTCAACCCGGCGTTCTCTCGGCTGCAGGCTAGCACTAGCCCTCAGCACAGCGCAGGAAGCGGGTTCCCTCAAGTACTCTCCCAGAAGGTGGTCCAAACTACCGAAGTCCCAGTCTGCGAGATGACCCCGCCCGCGAGATGACCACGCCCACGATATGGCCCCGCCCACTGGTGGCCCCGCCCAGAGGGAGTCCGAGGCCGATGCCGGCTCGGGGCGGAGACGCGTTGAGGGAACCTGGTTGGCTCTTCAGTTTGGGCCGCGTGGGAGGGCGGGGCGAGGCCTGAGGGGGCGGGGCTTGCGGTCCTCCGGGCCGCTTGGCGCCCGCGGGGGAAATGGATGCTCTGCAGGTCCGCGGGCGCCGGGGGCGGGGAAAGCACTCGCTCGGCTGCGCGCTGGCCCCGCCCGGGACCCGGCCCGAGCGCGGGGCCGCCCCCTTCCTCCTTCGCTGGCGCTGGGCTGAGCCCCGAGCCGAGAAACGGAGTCGGCCCTGAGCTCCCAGTTTGGTTTTTGGGTGGTGGCAGCCTGAGGAGGAACATGGCGCTCGTAGGCAACGGAGCAGAGCTGGAGGCGGACGAGGTACTGGCTCGTGGGGGTGCGGGCATTGCCCCTGGAGTCCCGGAGGGATGAGCGAGCCCGGCAGGGACGGCCAAGGTCCCGCCCCCTGGTCCCCAGTCCGGGACTAGGCAACCTCCCGTCCGGAGGAAGGGGCAGGGGCTGCGGGTGGGGGCACCCGGCCTGGGAGGTCTGTCCGCACGCGAGCGTGAAGGGCGCTCGGAGCGGAGGCGCTGTGGAGGTTCTGGGCGCCGGCACCGTGGGGTCGTGGTGATAGAGGACACCACGTCGGGTCTGCGGGTGGATGGGTGCCAGCGCGCGGGAGCGCGGGACTCTGAGTTTCTTCAGGAGCGCTTGGGCTTTTTGAGGTCCGACCCTGAAGTCCCGACACTGGCCCTTTGGGGTTTGTGGAGTATCATTTCTATGGAAGTTTCCAAGTGGCAGAACCGACAGGCTTACAGTTGGTGACAGGAGGGGGCTAGCCGGGGTGTGGGGGGGGGAGAAGGAGCCCGAGGCGTGTCTGCACGAGCGGGCAGGGTAGGGGCTGCCGAGGGGGCTGGAGGGCTAGGCTAGGGCTAGGAGAGCAGCAGCCCAGGAATTGGTGCTTTCTCCTCCGTCCATAGGGCACAGGCCTTTCCCGTGCAGGTCCGCAGTGTCGGTGGTGGACTGGGGGGGGCGGGGGGAAGGCGCTTCGAGAACCGACTCCGGCTTCCCGACTTCTCGACTGTATTTAAGTAATTAGTCACTTCTTCCTGCGGCCCGGCGCGCGGGGGCCTGAGCACCCTAGGGCGCGCGCGCTGTACCTGTTGATTTATTGACTGTTGCTTCCAGCATTTGGGAGCCCCGGAGAGACGCTCCCTCTTGCGCTGGAAGTTGAGGCCGGCGGCAGGAGCAGCCTCGGCGGCAGGAGCAGCCACCGCAGCACCCACAGTTGCTGCTGCTGCCATTTTACCTGACTTGAATTTTACAAGTCGCTGCCGGAGGAGGTTTAGTTTCAAATGATGCAATAGTGGAAGATCTGGAGGAGGCGGGTTAAGATTCCTGTCCATCTCTTTAATGTTGGGAAACTCCTGACAACGAATACTGTGTTTTCAGTGTAGCCCTTAAAATAAAAGCGAAACAAAAACCAAACTACAGCTCCTTTACACGATTGACAGGCAAGAGGGCAAGCCAGGCTGTTTAAAACCTTCCTTACAGCCAGTCCCTTGCAGTGAGGATCCCCAAGACCACAATGCAATGAACTAGAGCTTGCTAAGTTGCATCTTTTTATTGTTGAAACTTTTACATTACACGTAAAGGCAGATGATGAAATAGCGTATTTGTTGCGATTTTCATCCATGACAACCTTTCTTTATTTATAGCTTTAGATTGTCTTTTGGTATGACCTGGAGGCTTCTGTTTTTTTCTTTCCACCTGTCTTAGTTCTTTTCTGTAATCGAGGTAGTAAACCTTTCATCGTGCTTTGACTATACATACATTCCCTTCCTCAAAAGTTTTTATGGCTGTCTGTTGTATATTAAGTTAAGTATTCATATGTCTGACATGCAAGGCCCTCTACGGTATGATCTAAATATGATGTTCCAGCCGATCCCCAACTGCTTCCCTATGTATAATCAGTTAGTTTAATCCATGCTATACTGGTATTATAAATGAGGAAACAAGACTGGCAGAACCTAGTAAATGTGGATTGAAATTTTTGAATCCCTAGTCTGCTTGTCTAAAAAGATTTGGTACTCTTAGGGCTATATAATTGTCATGTCAGGGCATTGTTGAGAGAGAAACGGGATGCTATTAATAATTAACACTTGGACAAAAGGTGTAAACTGGGACTGTCCTGAGCATACTGAGACCTATAGCCACTGTAGCCATACCCACTGCCTACAAGGTGAACTGAAGTGTTGAGATGCATTAGCTAGGGAGGAGGACTCTAGGTCTGTGGAGGAAGTTAGGTTTTGAACAGCAGAGAGCTTGGCACACAGATTCTTGGTAAATACACATTTGTTGAATGAATGAATAAAAGCATAAATGATGTCACTTAATGACTTCTCAGTGTTTGCTATATCTTTCATTTATTAAATTCAATAACTGCTAGGTTCCTGTTGCATGTAAGGTACTACATTGGTCCTAGGAGATGAGCAAAATACAAACAGAATTTTTTGCTCATGCCAAATTCTCTTTTGTCCCTCCATGGTACACCATTCCTATTGGTAGAAATTTTGCAAACATTTATTGAACATTTGCTCTGTGCTCAAACTTGGTAGGTGCCTTAGAAGGAGAAGACACAGTTTTAGCTCTCTAGGATTCTCTGGCTAGGTAGGGAGATAGGACATGTGTATAAGAACTCTGGAATAGGGGTGCCTGGGTGGCTCAGTCGTTAAGCGTCTGCCTTCAGCTCAGGTCATGATCCCAGGGTCCTGGGATCGAGCCCCACATCGGGCTCCCT